GCCGTTTCCGTGTCTTGCCTGCAATCGGGCTGGAGGAGGGAACCAGCCACAGTGTCACGAGCATTGCTACGTAAATGGACGCTGGGCCTGCCTTCTTTTGACAGGTGGCTCATTGGCGACAGCAAGACAATAAGACATTCGCCATGGACGAATCTGATGACGCGGCATTGAGAGACAAGGAGGAGTATTACAGAAAACTGAATGAATCACTCAAGTCAAAGGCAGCATCCTTAATCGCACAAGCGGAAAAAGCGCTCAAAGATCAGACCGATGTGTCAGATTCATTAGAGCTACCTGCGGTTAAACACGTGAGACAAGGGACAGCGAAAATGACTGCCGATGACGAGCCGGACCCAGTTCTGCCTTGTAAACTCGGCGAGCCATACCAGGTTACGCTGCAGCCAAAGACGGATGCCCTCGTACCTGACCATGGCTCAGACACAGACGACAGCCTCGTCGAGGCATTCGACTGTCTTGAAGCCAACGATGAGCCAAATAGCCAGAGCGCGTCGTCGATCGCATCAAAGAATCTGAGTAGCGCAGCGCAGGCGCGGCTGTATCAAGCAAAGCTACGAGTGACAAAAGCCGAGCTCACTCGTCTCAAGGTGCAGTATGACAAATTACTGAAGCAGAATAACGTTCTTTCCGATAAGTTGAAAGTCTCTGAGAGAGAAGGTCAAAGTGTCATCTCAGGGTCGCAAAAACAGGCTGCAGAGATCAGCAGATTGAAGAAGGCCCTGGATGATGCTAACAATGAAGTGCAGAAGTTCAGAAGTGAGTGCGTCTCGTGGAAAAGAGATGCAGAAAACAACGTGAAAGAAGCACAGGCAGCATGCAAATCAAACTCCCAGACAGAAATAAAGCTAAAGAGAGCGAACGAGGACGTTGAGAAACTTAAGCTTGCCCTCGAAGCCGAGAAGAGGCGAGCTAGGGACTCAGCTGAGGCGATGAAAGAAAAGGTGGCCTCCTTGGAAAGCTCCAACAAGCAGCTCGACAAGCAGCGGCAAGAGCTAATTGCTGGATTCAAAAAGCAGATGAAGCTGATCGATGTGCTCAAACGACAGAAGCTTCACTTGGAAGGTGCGAAACTGCTGCAGATCTCAGAAGAGGAGTTTCTCAAAGTGGTAGATCTCACTTTGAACGAATGACAAAGTCGTGGAATACTCTAGTCACCCAATCGCTTTTTCAGTTTCTCGTCATCCGCGTCATCCACATCGCACATGCGTATTGCACATGCACTTCATAAAGTGGAAAATGATTAATATGTACACATTACCCACAGTTTATCGTATGCGTGTTCCCTCTGTTTTGCTCCAATAAACAAGTACCTTGATGTGAACGGATCTACAATGTATAGAAGGTAGTTGTGCTTTTTTAAAAGAAAACTTGCACGAACTGAGGTACTCGTGCTGTTGGCATGGTACTGATAGGCCTAACAACCTGGCCTAACAAACCCGCTCGTCTAGTCCGGGCTTAGCCGGGCCACCGGGAGAATATTAAACTCGCGCCGTGCTGGGGAGTGGGCGTTTTCACGCCCCGTTAGGGGCCACGTTAAAGGGACCCTCCCACCTTAACATTAGTTTTGAGTCGAGATAGCCAAGTTTGCGGCCAGGCTCAGAAACCACCATTTATCCTGGTCGCAACCCCCGCAGCTTTATGGTGTTCAAGAAATTTCTTCCCTTTACTTGCAGGGTGGGACCAGCGTGGTCCCTATCTCTTAACCATTACGGGAATCTGGTGACGTCATCAGGCTTTCGAACGTCCGTTAAATGTTTGACTAAAACGTTTTGTAGCACGCGGTGGTATATGCTGCTTTGCGCGCAACAAATGCCGCACTTTCAAATAAAGTTGCTAGGAACAGCGGAGATCCCAAAAAGTAAAGAAAAGTAAAAGTCTAATATCTTGAAAACCGGTGAATATTTTTTATCGATGAAATTAGTGGTGAAAAACACTTTAGATGTGTTCAGCGTGATGATACGGATCGACTGATATGCAAGCTGACCCCTTCCGGTCAGGTCATAACCTTGACCTGAGGTGAAATTTTCAAAATGACCTTTTAAGGTCAACTTTAAGTTCATTCGACGCGTCTCGACGAGAGGAACATGATGCTGGCAAAAGTAATGTCATGGCTCTCTTGAATCAAAAGTTATTAAAAAAAACATTTTTTTCGTGAAAACGATTACTTTTAGTTTTTGCCCTCCGGAGGTTAAACCGTTGACCTGAGGTCAAATCTGAGGACATGTGGGCGAAATGGTGTTGAAAGAGCTATCGAATGCACTTTTCCGCAGCGCTATAGCTCTATTGGTTCCCGAGTTAGCCGTCGGGCGTTTCGATTGTTGAAATAGACAAAATTGACCTTTGAAGACTTCTGGTAACCTAACCTTTGACGTGACCTTAAAAATGACTGAGGTATTTCCGCTATTATTTTTGACGCTCTTTCGATTGCCGCTTACCGCGTGTCGCTAGGTGGCCCAGGAGCCGAGCTAGACGGGAGGGGGAACCCCCCCCCCCCCCGCCCAGCACGACACGGAAAACTCAGGCCACCAGCACGGCGCGGGTTAATGCGTAGGTACTCGGGTATTTATGTTTACCTCATGATATGTGGTGTCCCTCTGCTGTACTCAATGAACCATATGACCAGCTGTCACCACTCACCATGCACCAGCATAAGGTGTTTTTTTTTTGTTGCAAGCGTTTCACGAAACTGTGGAGGATTCTTCGTGAATGAGCCCTCGCCGGACTAATCGGTTATCAACAGATGGCCTGACCGAGGATGGGGCGGGCACATTTTCACTTGGTCGTTGCGTCCGTCCCTAACTGAGCTTCGCGGAAAAGTTGGGTGTATGCACCTTTTAGAGGCGTATGGAACGGTAGCTACTTTATTTAACCCGCGCCCCGCTGGGCTATTCAGCCATACGCGCCCTGCTTGGGGGGGGGGGCAGATTCTGCCCCCTTGTCTAACTTCCGAACCGATGGTCATAGAAAGACGAGGAAAACGGCAATCGAAAGCTCTCAACAAGGCGGAACTCAAAAGCGTTTTTTTTTTTTTGCTTAAGTAGGTCAGAGGTCAGGTCAAGGTCAGGTCAAGGGTACAGAATGCAAGTTTCTACAGTATCGGCCATGCACCGTAGTTGCCGAAGAATGGCCTGAGACTGATCGCCCAAAACGTGTTCTTAGTAGAGTTGCAAAATTTCCCTAGCGCACTACCGGCACGCCGGTAATTTTTCACTGCCGCAGGTTTTTTCGTGGTATCTGGCATGTCTTACCGGTAGCATGCCGGTATTTTTGATTTTGCACAAAAAAATATCAGCATATGATTCAAACTTTGGACACTAAGAGGCTATTGACTTCTTAGGCTACCAAGACATTATTCGTTGCATACAATATCATGCAAAGGTCAAGGTCAGGTCAGGTCAACAAAAATTAAATATGGAAAAGGGCAGGTGCGACACATGTTTTACCTATGGGTCATTTTATTCATAGAACTCAATACGCACACTCAATAAGTGATGTGGACCACATCTGGATGAATTCAGGTCGAAGTCAGGTTAAGGTTAGGTCAAGTGAGGTCAAATTTTGAAGTTGGCTGTTAAGACCTAAAAAGGTGTCTATCTGATGCAGTTTTTCACGGCGAATCGAATGGTGCTGTTTTGGTTTCCGTAAGAGGTCTATAACTTAAAAAAAAACATTTTTAAAAAAAAATTGTGGGTCGTGACGTCATAGGATTTTGAATAACTCCCCATTTTTGAAAAGATTCTTCTAAAATTTGGTATGTAGGTGCACATAGAGCGCTTCTCTGACATATATTCCGTTTTTTTATAAACTAAAATTTTTGGGTTTATAATTATTTTCCCAAAAAAGTCAGTTTTTTAAGAAGAAAAATTTGGGCCAAAATCCAAAATTTTCTATAAAAAAACGAGATACCCATTTGATAGACAAAGTAGAATCACGTATAGCCTTTTTGTTACGTCTTGATTCCTTTAAAAATGAAGATGTTGGCGGCGTTTGAAATTTTGCTGTTTTTTTTTTTCGGCGAAAAATGGTGGTCATGACGTCACTTAAACGTCGTTTTCTCCAATTTTTTTCCCGACGGATTTCGCTCAAATATTCAGGAAACGTGTTAAATTGATGTATGATAAGGTACTGAAAGTTTGGCGTCGCTGGCATAACGCGTTTAGAAGTTATTGGCGAAAAACGGGAGGGGGCAGATTCTGCCCCCCCCCCCCAGCGGGGCGCGGGTTAAGGTCTCGGATTAACTAAGGTCAGAAAAAAAGTTTGAGTCCGGTCGTTGGTAAATAATATTCATTGTCCGCTGAAATGGCTGCAGAGCAACGACTTTGGGAACATATCTGTTATCATGCCCACTGCCCAGTTTTCCCGAATGACAGAGGCGTATGTTGACCTCAGGTCAAGGTCTGGTCAAAGGCCGAGTCTCCAGGTCAGGAGCTGTCCGAGGGAGTTCATGCTGCAAACCATTCGATTTGGCAACTCAATTTGAGTTTTCTCGTCTTCCTTGAGCCACTAAGTCAGGTTGATCGGGTTGACCTCACACCACTGAGTGACACCATGTATAACAAAGTAAAAAAAAAAAAAACGTAAAAAATAAACGTTTTTTTAGAAGCATGATTTGACTTTTTCACCAAGGCCAGTTACTTAAAATCTCAAGAAATCACAATCTTTCACGACCTTTGTAAAATTATTTTGTTTGTTCTTCGTTTATTTTTGGGTCTGATAAAATGTGCTGTCTGTGGTGGATGTGGGTGACTCAAGCATGATAATTGATAAATTCATACATGAAAACATGAATATTGAACAGCCCATCGACGCTAGCGTGACCAGACGCTAGCGTTCGTCGTGAAAAGAAAACTTCAAAAATGTGGATGATCATGCTGAATTTCGAAATGCTTCGAAATTTCGAAATGCTTGGGAATTTCGAAATTTCGAAATAGAGTATGGGAACGGAGCATGGGTTTGATGACACAAACTTTCTTTATTTTCAGAGAGCATCGTTCGATTGGGATGTCGCCGCCTCCGGGAGATAGCCAGGACCAAGAGGTAGCGGTGCATCGCCAGCTGCCCAGTATTCCCATTCTGCAATGCCGCTGGGGACTCGGCGAAGGCGTTAGTCCAATGGTGTTTAAGCCGTTGACGATCCCTCGTCACCTGATCCAGTCGCCGGACGGGCCGCCGCCGGAGCCCGCCCGCCGACCTCGCGGCCGCGGCCGCGCCTCTGGCCTCAGCTGTCACGACGATCCTCTGCCGGTTCCCGGGAACCTCGCCAACGTCGGCGTCAGCAACCTGACCATCCAGGAGCAGATAAATCGCGTACGGAGAGACCTGCCGATTTACGAGCCGCCGACCAACTACAGTCAGTACATCCTTCCGCGGCACAACTCTCAGGACGACGATTTCTCGGAGCTGGAGCCGGAGACGGCCGCCACGCCGCCGCCGCGACTGACCGGCCAGGTAAATCTGGATGACGGGCAGCGCGGCGGCTGGAATCTGGCCGACTTCCTGGATCCCGGCGGTGTCGTGGCCGTAGAGTCTGCCCTGCTGCCGGCGGCGGCGGTAGCTGATGGTGACACCCAAGGGCGGCCTTCACGGCTACTCGGACACCTAGGAAATGACTCTGACGACCCAGACATCTGTGAGGAGCGGACCAATTCGTCCGATATGTCGGACGAATGGCAGCCCCGGCGTGTCTGGCGGCCCCGACCGCCGCCTCTCGATGAGCAGAGCTTTCCTCCTCTGCAGGGTGCCGCAGACGCTCCGGACCGCTCCTCGTCCAGGGCGGCCCGGGCATCGGGCTGGGCGAAACCGGTGACGGCCGCTCTGGACAGCGCCACGACCAGGCCCGAGGGGCGAAACGGTAGCCAGGCTGGGAAGAGGCCGAAGTCGGCCAGTCAGTCCTCTACGGCCGCCTCGTCTGTGAGCGGTGCTGACTTTCAGTCGGCGCCCTCTGCTCCGAGCCTGGCGTCCCATCAGGTCACGGAGGACACTGCTAGCGCCCGTATGCACGTGACCGGCGTGACCGATGCGAACTGGGACAAGGTGCAGGAGTACGTGCAGGCGTACGGAAGCACATCGGACCCACAGCGCGGCCCGGGCGGCCACGGATGGTTCTCGATCACGCCGCCGGAGAGCGCCGAGTGGATCGTATCCGTGCACTCGAGCACGCAGTGTGACATCGCCGGAGTCGCCTTCCACCTGGCCGACCGTGGCAGCGCCGCCGAACCGACCGACACGTCGCGCCCTCCCTCCGGCCAAAAGGAGTGAGCCGACTCGCCCTGCTGTTCAGGGACGTGCTCGGTGCTGCTGCCGTCTGCTTCTGAGGCGTGGGAAAACAAAATGCTGTGGAGCCAACCTCACCCATGTCTAGTCCCATCCTCTCCGTGATCGGAGTAAAAGTGCCTCTATCCTGCTGGGTGGGTGAGTCGTATCCGATAAGCAGATTTGGCTCATCAATGCTGAATTGTTTGCCACTTGCCAAGCATTGTCCAGTTCTAAAAAAGATGGATCATTCCAGTTTTTTTCAAGCATAGTGTCAAGTCAGGTTTTACGCATGTAATGTTTATTCTTAATTTCCAGATTAATGAGACTTCTGAAGTTCGTAGATGAATACATGTACTTATTAAACCAATTTATCATTCGTTTGCAACCTCTCATACTGGTGAATTTTCCCCAATGCTCGTTTCGCCTGGAATTATTATTTTTTATGTAACGGACTTGGTATTAACTCGCGAGTATATTAATCCATAGTAGTGTGGCATATAAATTGCCACCAAAAAGGGTTGCTTCAAGCAACCCTGTAACTGGCATTTGGCTGCCACTGAGCTGCTGGCCGAAATGAGAACGATAAGAAACGGTGTGGGGCGTTAATGCAAGCTGTAAATATGGGGCTCATGCGGAACATTGGTAGAGGTTAGCTTGCGAAGAAATGATTCCAACGATCGCAGCAAACAGCGAAATTACAATTATGGAGTGGTGGTGACCGTCAGTGGGTCACAGGATGCATTATTCTTTAGACATAAAGGTTACACTGCATACGCCGAATTGAATGGGATTTAATTGATTCAGTTGCATTCAGATCAAATTAGTTGCCACGCTATAGCTAAAGAGGGTCCTGGCCGCTCGTGCAATGCAAGCTCCGATGTGCTAGGAAAACGGATTTAGGTGTGCTTTGGCGGTGTGTCTAGGAATCAGGTGTTTTCTAAGGTAGAAACAAAAGCTTGAGGTGAAATGGCTAAGCGAATGACAGAGGCGAGATGCAGGTGCAGAAAATCTTTTTAAGGGTAGGTTTTACACTAAGTACCTTCCAGAAATGCATTATTCAATCATAGAGATATCGGGTAAGCCATTGATAACCACGATATCTTTAATTTGGTTGAGGTGTCCATTCAATATTATTGTTACAAAACATACGCAAGAAAGACGATTCTGAAGTAGCAATCATTTTGCCAGACACCTTAGTTTGCATTCGTATTTCGTTGTGATTTCGTCTGTCGATAATTCATTTATCTTGATCTGCCGCAAGGCAGGCACATAATTATGTCAATATTTTAGTAATTTCTTAATGGATCCATTACCTGGCCGGGCAGTCATTTGACTAGCGCAGCCTTGAGTGCAGGTGTACTGCCACGACTGCGACCGCCTCCTCTTCGATCCGAGTTTGGATCCTATTTTGATTTTCCATCAGTAAGTAGCAACTGATTAACTGAAGCAAGAATGCGTTACCAAGATACGTGGCTAGATACATTTATTCCTTAGACACGCTTTTTCTTAAGGCAAAGGTGTTAAATGTGTGTTAAATGTTTGCTTACATTTTGGACGGATGACATTTGTAAAAGCATGGTTTGGGAAAATTAGGATGTTCGAAAACTCTTGTGATAATTTTTTATCATGTAATTTTTGGAAAGTTAATTTTAAAGGCTTGGCTGCAATAAGCTGTCGAGATCAAGATGGATGAAAGTAAGTTACTGCATTGCTTTCCACTTTAAGTGAACCAGTATAGCTACGTAACTTTCATATTTGTTTTTGGGCAACACATGAAACAATATCTATTTTTGTATTCAAGGTATGAACCAGGAATGCAATCATTTTGCACTTTCCATAAACTGCAGCATGGAATGCTTCTTTCCTGAGTGATGCTTCCCATGCCTTGACCTGCCCTTGACTAGGTATGACTTGACTTGACTTGACTTGATGACTATGTTTGAAACTTGAAAATTGATTTTATCTGACCCATTTTTGGTTAAACTGAAGATTCAAGATAAGGTCCAAATGGTTTTCAATGGTTCTTCAAGGTTCTTTTGTACCTACATGTTTTTATGTCCTGAACGTTAAATCATTTGCAGCAAATACCATGATTATCATCAATGCCTTCATATTTATTTTATATTCACTTTTCCTTAGACCTTAGTAATTCTTTCTCATTTTCCTTTTGTATCTTGCATGTTATATGCATATTGCATATCTTTTCTATGTAAGCTATATCTCAAAATTATTGGAATAGTCACTGCCATCTATATTACTATTTGAGGAGGGCGTAGTTTCTGTCTATTACGAAGGTCGCGACATGGTGCTACGTAGCGCGGGTTACAGATCACACCGTTGCACCTACCGCGCTGAAATTTGCGCAAGTTATAGAACAAGGATGGACAACGTGCCTTTGAGCGGTCTCGGCTCGATCGGATCGATAGCGAGCGCGTGGCGCGTGCCCAAAAAGTGCAAATTCGCGTCATAGACTTTACATGTATAAATCGGCTGGCAAAAACGGGCGAAAATGGCTAAATTTGCCCGACACGGGTCCGTTCCCCGTGCAATATCTCGGTAGCCGTGCGCCCGATCGGCACGGGGAAAACAGCATCGTGTAGAGAATCGAACGGGCAATCGAATAGTGTGCGGTGCAGGGGTGGCACGCGCCACGTGCAAGTGTGAGGGCAATTTCATTTCAAAAAGTGCCATTTTAAACGGATTTTGGAATTTATATTAATTTCAGGTGATCGTCAGACGGAATGAGTTGAAACAGCGCCTATTAGCAATAAAAATGTACCGTCTCTCATGGAAAAATTGTGAAAAGCTAATTGATCAAAAACAATGTGGAAAAAATCGCTGAATTAAAATGGTATTTGTCCATAATGTGCCACTAAAAAGATACACGGGATTTGCTGCTTAACCTGATACGCTTGACAATTGAAAATGCTATCATTAGAAAGAGCATTCAATTCTCTCCAAGATCCAATCATCACGTTTGCATGACAAGCAACAGTATTCTTTAAAATATAAATGTTTTAAACCTCTGCAAAACGATTTTTAGCGAAAATTATCTACGCCTTTCATTTGTCTTAAAACTACGCACCTCAATTATATAGCACATTTGACAGATTCTGAAGTGGAAAGCATGCTTATCAGACACGGGCACCTCGATGCGGTGGATATTTTTTCCACAAACCAAAACGTTTAGCCGTCAAAAAGCAATCGACCGAAATGGATAGATAACCCAACCGACACAAGAACAACCGAACACCCGCCGATCGAAAATATCCCTTTTCGCGTTGCGGAGCACGCGGGTCACCCTAGTGAGCTTCTATTTTCATAACCTTACAAACAAGTTTTGAATTCCTTGACATGTTGATCATGTCATACTATTCTGACATCATGCTATGACAAAACAACCCAAGCTTTTCTAAATTCTAGCAATGGATTCTGGAAGCATTGATGGCATTGGCAGATTGAAGTTCAAAGCTCATATATAATTGATTTAGGTGATATCCAGGAAAACCAGACTCTTCATGAAAAGCAGAATCTGTCTTTTTTCAAGATTTCAATATTGAATCTACTCTTGACTGTGCCTGAACCTGACTCACATGGTTAAGAATTAATAATCCACTAGGTACCAATCAAATTTGCTTGTCCTTAAGATAAACATACATATATGCCAGAAAATTGTTACTTACATGACTAGATGCACCAAAAACATCCACTCCTACATCTCCTTCATGATATCATGCTTGCTGGTAAACCTAGTCTAACCTAACCTAACCAAGCATATCTACATGCACAATGTGTATCCATCTCCTCTGAATTTCTTCATATTTCTTTTTCTTTGCAGTGTGGCCCGATGACGACTATTCGACCACATCTGCCAGTCTGCCATCACTGGACGCGGCCGTGCCGCGCAGAGGCGGTCTGTTGCGACTCTTCTCGAGCCGCGTCTCGGTGCGCTCCGGCGCCGACGTCTCTGAACCGCGCTCCCACCGACGCGCCAGCGACACCAGCTTGTGCCGTGGCTCGCCGCCCTCGTCCGCGACCGACTCGACCGAGGGCCGCAGCTACGTGGGCGTGCTGCGCCGCATCAGCTCGATCCTGGGAGCCGGCGGCCAGGGCGGGCCGGGCGACAGCGAACTGAAGCAGCACTGGCTGCCGGACGCCGTCAGCCGCGAGTGCTACGACTGCGGCGACAAGTTCACCACGTTCAGACGCCGCCACCACTGCCGCATCTGCGGACAGATTTTCTGCTCCCGCTGCTGTAACCAGGTGATCCCGGGCAAGGTGCTCGGCTATAGCGGTGACCTGCGCGTCTGCACCTACTGCTCCAAGGTGGTGATGACCTACGTCCAGACCATCACGTCCGGCGCAGACGCCGACGAGCATGTGGACCAGAATGCGGTGCTGGAGAAGGTACACGCGCACTTGGAAGCAGCGAACCAACTGAGCAGCGACAGATCCAGCTCTCTTCCGCGGCTCAGCAAGATGCACAGGAAAAAGTACAGTCTCGGCATGACGGATGCCAGTCTCCGTGACCAGGTTGATCCGCACGAGAGCGTCTCTGACCCTCTGGAGCAGGAGCAGGATCTGACCTACTTGACCACCTTGCTGCACATGATTACAAACCCTATCCACGGCGTCGGGCTTGGCAACCACCGGCACCGGCTGAAAAACTACGGCGCCTGTCTGGTGGGCTCCGAAGTGGTGGACTGGATGATCTCGCAGCGGAAGGTGACGAGGCGTGCTCAGTCCGTGGCCATCGGACAGCGTCTGGTTGACATGAAACTGCTCGAATGTGTCAGTCACAACACGACTGCTTTCCGAGACGACTACTGCCTGTATCGGCCCTCGCCGGTAGCCATGCGGCGTCCGGCACTTTCGGAGCCTGAGGAGCCCGACCTGGAGGAGCCCCACTGGCTCTCCCAGATCGAGCTCAAGGAGAGCCACGGCGGTGGTGCAGCCACCGACGAGCCGGCCGGCGCGCCGCTGGCCCACTCTGGCTCCATGTACGACATCGAGCTAGATGTGTCGGGCAGCGTGGCGTCCATCTCGCGGGCGCAGCTGCTCCGCCAGATGACACCGCCGGAGCCCGCCGCCGCCGCGCAGGGTCTTCACGAGGCGGCCACTGAGTATCTGGACTCGGCAGCGACCGAGGCTGACCCACGGCGCCAGCAGGCCGACAAACGACTCTCTGCCGCTTTCGAGGCTCTCGAGTCGAGTCTGCTGAGTCAGCTGCTTGATTCGGCCGGCCTGCCTGCCAAGTGGTATGAGCCGATACTTGATTTGTCCCGCCAGTTGAGCCGGCTTGTGAAACCCGATGTTCGCCATGAGTGCGATGACCTCGACGTTCGTCAGTTTGTCAAAATAAAGCGCATTCCTGGCGGCAAGCCTGCTGAATCACAGATCGTACAGGGCGTCGTCTGTCGGAAGAACATTGTGCATAACGACATGCCATCCCAACTGACGAATCCGCAGATCCTGCTCATCAGCTGTCCAGTGTCTTACCAGCGTTACCAGGATCGAGCTGTCTCCTTGGAGCCGATGATGATGCAGGAGCGGGAGGTGCTGCGCAACATCACTGCGCAGCTGTTGTCACTAGCGCCCGACCTGATCGTCGTCGAGAAGCACGTCGACAGCATGGCGCGCGACATGCTGCGCGAGGCCGGTGTCACACTCGTCACCAACATGAAAAGACAGGTGCTGGCGCGGATCGCGCGCTGCACCCAGGCAGACGTGATGGACCACGTGGATGCCCGCCTGGCGGCGCCCGTGCTGGGCATCTGCCACTCATTCTACACTAAACAGTTCACCATGGAGGGTGGCAGCAAGAAGACCTTCATGTTCTTTGACGGCTGTGCAAGTCACCTGGGTTGTACGGTGCTGGTGCGTGGTGGTCACATGAACCAGCTGAGACGTGTGAAGCACGTGCTGCGCTTCATGGTATCAGTGCAGTACAACTGGCTCCTGCAGAAGAGTTACCTGCGTGACTTGGTATCTGTGCCACCGCCATTCGGAAACCAAGTTCTGCTTGCTCAAGATGAGGCACCAGAGGACTCGAGGGACAAGACCCGTGCCGGGAGTGTCTCCAAAACGAACGGGGCTAGCTCCCGGCCGCGCGCCTCTACCGCGCCGCCCGATGTGGCGACGGTGGCCCCGGCGACAGGAGACGAGCGACTCCGCTCTCCGCGACGACCGGGCGAGATGGTGACCGACTGCAGTGACCCGCTGCAGCGTCCGGCGCCAGCGCCGGTACCGGACACCAGCACGCCGGGGCTCAAGGTTGAGATCCTGCCCGATCGCAACAAGTTCCGAAAGTTGTTGGGCGACACGATCGTGTGCTGTACGCCGTATGCAAGGGTGGCCATGCCGTACCTGGAAACGGAGGAGGGGAAGCGGAGTAGTCTGCGCCGCTTCTTCACAGCGAATCTCTACTGGTCGGTTGAATTTGACAAAGCCGAGAAGGCACGTCGCGCACACATCCGCAAGGCCCCGATCGAAACTCGGCCAGGTCCGACGTTGCTGCCTGAGCACGAGTTTGTGACGCGCTGCTTCACCCGCACGGTCGACGACGATCAAATGCAGGCGCTGCTGGCCGACTTCAGAGCGCGCGGCGGCCGGTGCCCGCGGGTAGAGCCAGTCGAGCCCAATCAGGTGGAACCTGTCCAGGACCGGCTAGAGGACTGGGTGGTTCCCTGTGACGCGCTCAATCCCATCAACCACCAGAAGATCGCCGTGCAGACGTACACCTACTCGAAGCTGCCGAGCGGCGTGTCGGTTGGCTGCTGTGACCCGCATGTCATGATGGTCATGTTCAATGGCGACAGTGACACCACGCTGGGTACCTTCCTCGAGGCCGAATGTTTCACACCAGCCTTCAAATGCCTGAAGAAAGACTGTGTGGTGCCGCAGGAGGGACATGTGCACCGCTTTCTCCATGACAACAGCTGTGTGTCACTGCTCGTGTGGACCCTGCTCGAGCCGTGTCCCGACAAGCGCATCTGGATGTGGACGTGGTGCCGACAGTGTGAGCGCGGCTCGGCTGCCAGGCCCATGACCGAAGACACGTGGACGTTATCGTTCGGCAAGTTCCTGGAGACGTTCTTCCTGTGTGAACAGTACTCGTCGTTGGACGGCTGCTCGCACAGCCTATTCCGGGATCGCGCGCACTACTTCGCACTGCAGGACCGTGTCGCCGTCTTCAGTCACTCTCAGATACAGCTGAACGACATCGTGCTGCCGCAGCTGGACATCACCGTTGAGCTGGGACCGCGAACCCAGCTCCGTCTGACCGAGGACCTGCATGCACTCTCCGAGGGTGTGCAGCTCTTCAGTTCGATCGTGGAGCGCTTGCTGTCTTTGCGTGCGGCGGCTGCCAGCGACGCCAAAGTGACTGAGGCGTTGCGGACCGCCCAGGAAGAGGTGGACGACGAGAAGCGGGCGTTCCGCACGCTGCTGACCGACATCGAGACAATGGTGGCGCCTCTGGTGGGGGAGGCCACTGACGGCGCGTGTCGTCTGGACGAGGACCGTGTGTTCGCCGCCTCCGACCGGGCCGTGCAGGCCAAACGGATGATGGCCGACACAGCGCACAAGTGGAATACACGGCTGCAAGAGTTGGCTAAAGCAGTCAAAGCTATTCCGCGACCGAAGGCGGAAGAAGTGACAGCGGAGGCAGAAAAGCCTCCGAAGAAACACTCTAACGATGGGAAAGTGTTAGAGACCAGCACTTCCAGTCGGAAGAGCTCCAACGACCAAAAGTCCAGCTACGATTCGAAGCAGAAGGAGGGCGCCGATCCCGAGCCGGCGACCGAGGACGCGGCTGATCTATCGTCAGTCAGCAAAGTCAAGTCCATCACTGTCGGCGGCATCAAGGCGCTCAAGTCGCTGGCATGGTCCAGTGGGGAGCTGGGAGAGCGGCTGACCTCTTCGCTCCCAGTCAATGAGCACCATCGGCTGCCGCCAACCGTGCCGCCGTCCTTCATCTGCGGCGAAGACTTGGGCTCGATCATCGCCTACTGCATGCTGACTCAGGAGTACAGCCGGCGACTGGCCGAGATCCGGCAGCAGCTGGAGCGACCCGCCGACAGCGCCGAGGAGCCGGGCCCGGAGCGCAGCGGCCGCATCTCCGAGTCGTCGACCGCCAACAGTGACGGTACTGGCGGCGCTGCTGAACGCGGCGAGCGCGGTGAAAAGTATCTGGCCCAGTACCACATCGACATCAACATGTCCGAGGACAACGCCAACTTCTACTGTCAGGTGCTGCTCGCCGAGCATTTCCGCCGACTGCGCCAAGCTGTGTTCTCGGCCGGCGAGGAACGCTTCGTCCGCTGCCTCATGCACTGTCAGCCGTGGAACGCCAAGGGAGGGAAGTCGGGATCTACGTTCCACAAGTCTTGTGATGATCGCTTCGTCATTAAGACCATCTCCAAAGTCGAAAAGGATCACTTTGTGCGCTTTGGCATCCGCTACGTGGAATACATCTTGGACAGCCTGACGACCGGACGACCCTCTGTGCTCGCCAAAATCCTGGGCGTGTTCCTGGTGGGTTACAAGAACAACGTCACTGGTCAGGCGAAGAAGTGTTACATGGTCGTGATGGAGAACCTTCTGTATGGCCGGCAGATCTCGCAGAAGTTCGACCTGAAGGGCTCTATGCGAAACCGCCTGGCCGACACCAAGGACAAATCCGAAGTGGTGCTGCTCGACCAGACATGGTGACACTGCTCAGCGAGAACCCGCTTTACGTGCGGCCGCACGCCAAGCGGTGTGCTGATGGAGGCCATCTCGCGCGACACCTCCTTTCTGCAGACGTGCCAGGTGATGGACTACTCGCTGCTGGTCGGTATGGACGAGACGCAGCGCTGTCTGGTCGTCGGGATCATCGACTATCTGCGCTCCTACACCTACGACAAGGCGGTGGAGACGTACATCAAGTCGTACAACATCCTGCTGGGCGATGGGAACAACCGCCCCACCGTTCTGGATCCGGTGCGATACAAGACGCGATCGCCGTCATGATGAACAAGTACTTTACCGACGTTCCCGACCGATGGCTGGGGTTCGCACAAGGTCTCGGCTTTCTCTGATGGGCCTGCGCGGCTGAGCTTCCCCATGGGATTAGTTGGAGGGGCGCACTGAAGAGTGGCCGCTGGCGCTGTGGGATGGCCGTTCTCCCCGACGAGACGGCGTGTTCCGCTCCGTCTTGCTGCCAATGAGCGCTGCAGTCGTCTGAGGCGCGGCGAGGCGAGACCTTCCCTCCATCAGCAGCGTTCTAGATCCCAGATTTCGTGCCGAGATCGTCCGAGAGGACTGTCAGGCATGGCAATGTTGTAATGCTGGCAATGGTATGCTGTACCGAACCGGACAACGCTGTATGTGTGCCTAAGCTGTCCTTTGCGTGAGCTGTGATTGAACGCTTGAGGTGTAGTGAGCGCAGTTGCCAGCAGCCCGGCGCCCGCTGTGATATCAGAAGCTTATCGTTATCGTTCATTGCTGATGTGCATCATGTTATGGTTACCATTAGGCTTGTATTCACGTTGGGGATGAGGGAAGGGTGACCAACTATACTGCATGATCCAATGGCTGGGTTTTGTATAACGCTCTCTTCATTAGTTTTGAGTTTGGGTGCATTTTCGTAAAGCATCTGTTTGGCCTTGTGTTTCATGTTTGCATTGTATCTAGGAAAATGTTGTGTTCTCATGTGGCGAGCCGTCTAGTTGTTTATTTGCTGTCAATTGGCATGTAATGGTGCTACGTTTGAGCTGTTAACCCTTGCAGTATCAGTACGTTATGTATCCATACATAGACCATATATATTGGACTGTGCACGGGAAATAGGGCCCTGCCATTAGGGCCCTAACTTTCGAAGGTCGTCACAGCCAACTTATTCGTCCATATGATGATGTGCTTTGGGAAACATCACCACTAGTCACTTTGTAATCTGAGTTATATCTTACATTGAGCAAAAAATATATAATATTAGCGCAATCATCGAAAAAGAAGGGCATTTTCTGCCCATTTCTTTGATTTAACATGGGTGGATGATGGTTCCCAGCTAATTTTCACGAGAATTAGCAAAATTTTCACAGACATGTAGCGAAGATTTTTGCAGATGTATTGTTGTTGTTGGTTTATCATTGACATGCGGGATAGTTCTCTTTTGTCTTTAAATAAAATGAAACCTTTTTAATGCATACATGCCATGAAAAATACAGTAAAATGTGCCGCTAGTGGAAATCACTTCAGAATATCCTATGAAAGAAACAGGGAGTGAGCATATTCAAAGAGCCAAGACAGTGCATGCAACAATGTCAGTTTTCCGGTTCCTGGCTAAGGCATCAATATGAAGTCAATTTCTATGTGCCCTAAAGCTGAAAATGTCTTGGAATTCTGACCACTGGGCTCCCTGTGAGTTTTATTACATGCTGTGACGCTGGCCGAGACCGAAAAATTGAGCAGAACAACTGTAAGGAGATGGCGGATCCGTTTCCAGACTGGCGGCTCCTATAATATCAGTCACAAGTGAAGCCCAAAACTAGCTAAAGTCTTGCAATTTGGTCAAGTGTGGTCACATATGTTATGGCTTGCGGAGAGCTGGCGTGCCCACATCAGCAATCTGTGTTCCCTCCTGCATGCAAGCAAGGGTCCTGCTCTGGTAACAGCTGCCGCGTCGCTCTCTCTTCGGCACACGTATAGCTTCAAACGTGTGTTCAAGACAGCGCGACTACCATTGTAAAGGAAACGATAACTTCTTCACATTGCTCGCTGAGGGAGTCACACTGTCGAGAAGCACCTCAAGTTACAACGCTACGACCTGCATTCCTCAACACATTGATGTGTATAGTTGAGCGAAAAACAAACATTGCAATTCATGGAGTCAATATGGACAGTATACCGTCACTCAACACCAGCGATGCGCGAACAGAGCTTCATGAAATAAGAAAGCTTCATGAAAATGAGAAAGGTTGAGCCGCAGGACGTAAACACAATGCAACATTCCTGGGATCAGTTTGTCTATGCAATCAATAACTACGATCCTATTCGTCGATGTGTAAGATACTACATGGCTGAGAATTTCAGATGTGGATTTACAATTCGAATAGTAACTAAAGGCAAATGTAGCACAAGAACTATAAGAAAGTGCATTCCTAAGTGCGAAGCTCTGCTGCAGTGTCCAGTGAACCGAGATCTCGTGACTCCGTCTAAATCTCGAATCTCGATCGCCATCACCCGCTGCAAAATGCGGCCACCGTCACTGACAACGCTGTTCAAAAGTCCCCTTCTCTCGAGAGGGACAGATGACAGAACCCGTCTGTCCCTATGCTGAGCATGAAATCGGCCTCAGTGGAAGCAGGGAACAGTTGTGGCCCAGCAGGTCACCTCGGACGGTCTCGCTAAAAACGCAGCACCGGCAGCTTTGTTATTTACCCATAGGAATCTTCGTAATTCCGTGGCGCAGATAGTGTGGGCTTTCAAAGCATTGAGCCGGGTGCGTGTCTGATTAGACAGGCAAATAATCTGCAGTGTCCAATATGTCGTCAGACTGTCTTGTCAAAAACGACCGATCAGGATTGTTCCTGTCTATTGATGCTTTGAACTTAATACGTGTGATATACCTGTCTATAAGTGCTTTTTATTTATTTATCGTGTTAAGAATCATGCTATAAATTATACATTTATTAAAATAACATCACATTTAAGAAGTTACTTTCATTTAAATGGGCTTACTACTTACTAGAGCGTCAATACACCAATTCCGCGTGCTACGTCGAATTTCCCAGCAGGCCCTAATAGCAGTCGGCAAATCCGTGCACAGTCCAGATATATAGTGGTCTATGATCCATATCGTTATATCATCTATATATCGGTGACATGCGGCTAAGTAATGTTGTTGAAAATCTGTCGACATTCCACATGTTTGGTGCGGTCGTCGCGTTTCTCAGTATTACATTTAGTCATTGTATTATGTTGTGTGGTCGGTTTCATTGTACACGGTCTGATTCACCTGGCCAGCCTCGCCCCTGAGACTGGAGGACGGCTGTTATGTGATAAATGGATGCATACCGTCGGGGGTAAGGGTGTAACCGTTTGGCATTGTTTATCGAATAACCATACGGTATCTGTAATAGCATTGGTATTTGTAACTCGTACGCTGACAATTAATTACACAATAACAGACCTTGAGGGAGATAGGCATCCCACGCCACACCATTCCCTACGCAAGCACTTAGAACAGTGTGCTGCGAGCTGCGACTCCCCCGAGCCTCCCCCGGGCGTCCGCGGGCTAACTGAGTGGTGGTGTGGTCTGCGCTGAACGCACGCGACGTGGTGATCCCATTTTGGAACATGACAACGGATAATGGTTTCACGCCCCAGATCAGAGGCCAGTTTTATCAACAGAAAAATAGCCGCCTGCCGGATTTTTTTTTTTTGCATACAGCTCACATACGGAGCGTAAGCGCGATGGACATGTAAAGGGAAAGGGCTTTACCGTTTACGCTCGTATGTGAAGCGGTCTTAGACAAAAAATTCCGGCAGGCGCTTTTTCTGTTGGTAAAACTAGCCTCAGTATCAGGACGTCTGCGTGCGTGGGAGGGGAGGGAAGAACCTGCCGCCTTCGCAAAACACGTCAAACGCCATCATAGCTCTTTGCATATTTTTTGACTGCGATTGATATCATGCGTGGACGCATCGCGATGTACCCTCGAAAGTCGAAACCAAATATAATCAGCGTACAAGTATTTTCCCGATAAATACCGCTAAACGTAATAGTAAAACTATGGCGTCACTGCG